CACACACACACACACACACACACACACACACACACACACACACACACACACACACACACACACATATATATATATATCCAGTGCCTTTATTCTACTTCATTGTCTATTGCCATAAGTTTCCATGGAATGGTACAATAAATAAATACAGTTGATTCTTCTCCACCTGAACATCCAGTGAAACGGAGGAAAATCTAGCACCACCCAGGAATTGCCAAGCTGTAATTTCCAGTATTACTGCAGGAAAATTCTAATAGCAACAGTCAGCAAACCTAGAAAGCCAGAATGCTTCCAATGTACTCAAATATAGATTTCATTGTGACAGTGTTGCTAAATTCTTTGCCGTTTCCCTGTGGTGAGTACGTACAGTACGCGAGGCACTATTATTCATGTTAATGTATTCTAGGTACTGTTGAGGTTCTCATGATTTCATGGGCAAGTGGCCCAGCATTGTTATAAGCTAGTTTGACTAAAACTCGCGTTTATACATTTAGTATTTAGTAGTAGGTCATTACCGTTTTGACCCCTCTCTGACAGAAACTTGTACTTTTTCTAAAGGATGTTTCTGTGACCTGATTCCATCCATCCATTTCATCCTCTTTATTCACTGTCTTCATGCCAATCATCATCAATTTATGTAGCCCATCATCTGCTTGCAGACGTGAGTTTCTGTTTGCTGATCTTTGCCTCAAGGGAGCAGTCGGTCTGCATGTGGTCCAGGACTGATTGAGTGATCGGTTCTTCTTGTGCTCCATGGCACTCTTGGTTAATACCTCCAGATCCATAATTTGAAGAGGTCTATCTTTTGTCTCTTTTTTAAACTCTATTTCACCGTCCGCTTTCACAGCAATACATTATTATGGAACGTATTGGAAAGAAGAGTTGCTTTGATTTGTTTCTGCATATGATCTTGTCATTACCTCTTTTTTTTTTTTTGCCTTCTAGGATTAATCTCTTTCAGTCCTTCAACATGTTTCATCTGTTCTTAAAATCAAGCAAATAAAACATTCATTTGCCATCAAGTGTTAAGTTCATTCATGGAGAGCTGAGCCTTATTTACAATGGGGGGGCTCATGCAAACAATGCTTAAGTAGGATAGTGAAAATTAGAACGCAAGTACAATTTAGTGTTATTTCAGAGAAAGTACCCATTTAGGTCCTTTCTATCCGGACAGCAAATAACGAGGGGAATCGTGCAGTTTCTTAGAGGCAGACATTTTAATCAGTTACCAATACACTGCGACTTCAGTAGTGACAACATTTTCATACAGGTGTCTCATCATGTCATCTTTTGCTTGTAAACTGCCAATGAAGCCACGCACGTTGCTACATTTACAAGGACAAATCCAAATACAGTACTAAACAAATCAATAAAACACTAAAAGCTTACACTGGAATGACAATACAAATTTTACTGCAGTGCTGAAAGATCTAGGCTATGATGAAATTTACAGCGAGGGCCGAGTCAGTCTCTCCGATGCAGATTTGCATAAGGGGAAATCTTAAGGGAATTAAGAAGCCTTGGCAAAAATCCACTCAGTGCTACTCTAGCATAGCACCGTTGGTTTCAGTGAAAGGAGTCATGCAAGGCTCCTGTGCCGGGCCAAGTGGATTGTTCAAGTAACCAGTACATAAATATTGATTCTCCTGTTCAATTACTCCTTTGTACAGGCCAGATTTTCTATTGGTCTGATTTTGTTTGAACAGGCATAATGCATCTCGTTATGCATCTGCCGAAGACACAGCTCCAAGAGTTCGACCCTCCCGCACCATTGTAATATTCAAAACAGGGTTAGATCCTTCGCAACAGCAAATAATGCCTTGTGGATAAAAGCAGGCGGATCTGTTTTTCCATCGTATCTCAAAATGCTGGAAATTCTTTGTTTGGAAAAACAAGACACGGCAAAGTAAAAGGAAGAATTTACAGGGTCAATCATAACATTTAGGAACCGGACATCCTCTACTCAAAATAAAGATGAACTCTCCTGTAAGCCCTGCTGAAATAGTGCAGCATAACTGAAACGATTTGCTCTCCTTTTGTATAGCGCAGTGTAGTATGTTTGGAATATCCAAATTGGGCTTCCATGTTATAAATGCAGAAAGCCTGCAGTATATCAAAATGGGAGTCACTTGCTGGTTCCCCAAACTTGTCCTGTAGTAGGTGGCATTTTTTTGTCTAGATCCTGATGCATAATATTACATATTTGTCTTTTCTTCCTAGGTCGTTTAAGGAACTTTATAGTATCATATTGTAGGTAACTTTTAGACTGGGGGTGTCAAACTGGCGGCCCATGGGCCAGATGCGTCACGCGCAGGCCAATCCCACCCCATCTCCGCGAATGGGAAAAATGTCATGTGATGCCACGAGTTTGACACCCATGTTTTACTGTGTTTTGAAGGGAAACAAAAAACCTCCATACCGGAGTGCCCTTTTTAATTGGCAACCCTCAGATTACCATAATGTAGGACTCTGTCCTTAGTAGACCTACACTAATAATAGGCCCCAAGTGCCCTTCAAACACTTTAGCTACCACTCCCACAATCCTTTGCTTCTGGGATGATGGCAGCTAGAAATCCAAGTATCCCAGGGGAATTGGAGGTTCCCTGCTGAGATGCAACAAGTACCGTTATGCAAATAGCTTAGTAAATGTGGAAAGCTGCCTCTCCAATTTGCCGTATTGCTTGGAAATGGACTCTGCAGAGTCTTGTTTATTTCAGGAAATATTAGCCAACCTTGCAATAAGGAATCTTCTTTTTTTCCTCATTCCATACAAATAAACAGGTTCCTATGGATTGCAGGAATCAATGTGGAAAAAGAATGTGTGAGTAACAAAAGAAATTATACATAAAAAATAAAATTAACAGGGAGTATCCCTAAATATCATTCACTGTACCATTTATGCCGTCAGCGTAATAGAATTCAACAATGCTGTACATTTCTATGTATTCTGGGGACAGTGCTCATACATGATATGTTTCTTTAACCACCTCTCCTCAAAAAACTGAAAATTTACAACTGAATTTATCTCCACCAAACCGTAAGTCAATAGCACAAAGTCACAGTGCTGTAAAACATTCTGAACAATTTCTTATTGTTTTTTTTTAAAATTCTCAAGGTAACTAATTATGGCTGATATAATGTTAGTTACATACACAGTATTAAACTGTTTGATGATAATCTCAATGTATTGCAAAGCACCAGGAATGTTTCAGTGCTATTCAGGAAGGCAAAGATGATGGACAACATTCATTTCTGGGGAGGTGATACAGGTGCTGTGCTCCAAAAAATACATCCAGTTGTCTTTCTTGATTCTTCATCCCTTCAATTTCCACAATCAAATTTTCCACAGGCACCATTTTTGCTAAATTTATCAGCATGCACTGAGCATTTTTCTCTGTATTCTCATATTCAAGTCTAGAAGTCCATGTATACTATACATACAGTATGTTTAACACACCAGCATTTCAATAAAATATTTTCTACATTTTTTTCCCTCAGCTTCATAAGGAAGGGGTGGATGGGAGACAGACAATGTTTTTCAGGAAAAAAAATAAATATATAAGACATAGGAGATATGTGAATGCTAATCAGCCTATTATGAATTTTTTTTCTGATTAAAGATAACACTCGAAATGGACCCGAAGGTTAACTTTTCTTCGTATTTCTTGTAATAATGATAAAGATATACTTTATTAAATAATTCTCTTAAATCTCTTTCCTCTGATTAATCCAAATGATATGTTTGCTGTGTCATAATTAGAGACATATTTATGTCACAGTAGAGTTTGATGATGTAAATGTGAAGAGTCTTCATTTCTTTGCAAGAGGAAGCTGTGGAAGAGCTCACTTGTGGATACATAGATATGATACTGATACATATAATAGCAGCAAAGAAAATATCAATATCCCCATTATCTCTTTCATAATTCTTGTGTACATTTTCATTGAAGAAAAAAAAAATAACTGGGGGTATTCTTTCTCCCCAACCTAAGAAACATAAAATCACCTTTTCGCTAATGGGAATATGCTATTGTTTCCATCTTGATTAGAAAGTACATAAAGAAAATGATTTCTCCTTTTCTATACATTTTCTTACAAAACCCCAAACCTAAAATATATAATGGGTCTTTAATGCCATTAACCAGTGGCTTTAGTAGGCATCACAGATTCTTGATGTTTAGGTGCCATATGACACTCTCTTTTTTTCCAGGTAGAAAATGCCAAAAGAGTATGTATGGGGACTTGTGGATCTCTCCTGATCTTATCTGGAATTTCAGAAATGAACAGAGCATTCTTACTCCAAGATCTTCCAAGAACTTGGAAGAATTTCTGTGTAAACACATGAGCTTTGGTAAACATGACATTTCAAAACACTTCGAATGATCCCCCCCCCCCCTTCTATTTAGGCTCTGAGGATTTTAACATTCTCGGAATGATGAGATTCAGACCAGTTTTAACATTGTGAAGTGATTTTCTTTTTCAAAGTCAGTAGAATCAAAATTCTCACCAATCTAGCCAGGCTCAAGTTACATACTCAAGCTCCTGTTTGTTTGTTTTTTTCTCAGAGTGATAAAAAGAAAAATCTTGCAAGATGTTCTAATTGATCAATGGGTCTGCATTTCTCCAAAGTTAAAAGTTTTCTTGGCAACTTTAAGATGCGTGGACTTCAACGCCCAGAATTCTCTAGCCAGCTGGCTGGGGAATTCTAGGAGTTGAAGTCCAGGCATCTCAAAGTTGCCAAGGTTGAGAAACACTGCTCTAAAGGAGTGCTCTGTTATGACGAAGCAAGCACAACATATATTGTCTGGCCAATCCTGGTCCATACATCTTTGGGTATTTAATACCTCCAATATTAAGATCATAAAGAGGGAGAATCAATTTACAAGAACTTTCAAAACACAATGGGATTTAGAACCGGGTTTTTTTTGAGGGGGGGGGGAGGAGAAGCCTCTTTCACACACCCTGACTTTATACCACAAATCGATGTTCTTTGCCATCATGGGCCATAAGAATAAGGTTGCGGTTCGAAGTCCAGATAAGCCTGACCAGTTTGAGGGCATTGTGTGAACCTGGAGACGCAGGTTGGACAGGAGGCACCTGGTAGGTTTTAATACAACGCAGCTGCGGTGCAGAATTCAGCATCCCGATGCTTCCCAACAGAGAGGTGTTCATCTGGCATTGGGGAGAAAGGGGAGAAAAAGAACAAGTCAATCAATACTGAAATCCATACGACGGAATACGGATAGTCCTCGAATTAAGATCATTCATATGAGGACCCTTTCGAACTTACAACAGGGCTGGAAAAAGAATGGATTATGACCTGTCCTCACATGTTACAACTGTCACAAGGTCTCCATGGTCACATAATCAGAATTCAGGCACTTGGCAACCGGCATGTATGTACAATCTTTGCAGGATCATCTGATTACCATGAATGTCTTTTCCAAGGAGGTTCTGACGAAGTCAATGGGGGAAGTCAGATTTGCATGTCAAACATGGTGATTCACATCAACCTTGGCAAAAAAAGGGGAAGCAGTATGTTCTGTCTCATATTTGGATAGCTCAGGTTGCCCTGACAGACTGGACTCACTAGAAAAACACTTAATCTCCCCCCGGTACAGCCGACAAAATGAGGGAAGCCCCGGGGCCTAGAGGTTAATTAATACATCTGCCTAATATGCAAGCAGCCCTGGTTCGAATCCCAAAAGGGTATGGCTAGCTGATGAGAGCTAAAAAGCTCTCCCTTTATTTCTTTGTCAGTAAATTTAAAATTTAACACAAAATAGTTTGTCGTTTGAAGAGGAGATAATAAGGAAGATACTGGTCAGTGCGGAAATGGACAGACTAACATTAAAAATAAAAGATAAAGGGGATACAGACTACTATGCTATATGGAATAGATTCTATCAATGGTTGGAAGCACAAGGTGGAAGTTAGATTGCGATAGAATCAAGTTAGGTGGAAATGGAAAGAGATACTATATATGTATTAAAATGAAGGTATTAGAATGAAAGATAAATTTGATACTCTAGAATATGATGGTCAGAAATAATTGTACAGCACTATCACTGTTTAAAATAGTATATATATATTACTTTGTTTTTACCTTTGTTTCGTGGCAAGTGGAATACCAGTACAATTGCACTGTATCCATAATTTTCATATTTAAACAATAAAAAACATATTTTAAAAAACAATGTGTCGTGAAAGCGACTGCCTGTGAAGGCTGCTGGATTGGGGCTGAAAGGCGAAAGCGGAAGCGCATACCTCCGCCCCATTATTTGGGTACAACAGGTTGCCCTGATAGACTGAAAAAAACACTTCATGGCAAAAAAAAAAAGGTTGTAAAATCGGACATAACTCACTTAACAATGACATTGTTTATCAACGGACGTTCTGGTTCCAATTGTGGTCGTAAGTCAAGGAGTACCTGCAATACAGCACTGAATTTCCTAAGAAATTCCCCAAAAGGCTGAGGAAAGTCCCTGAGTAAAAGTTCATGCTGCTACCAACGTCACTTCTGTCTTTCTGTAAAGATCAGCTATAGTTTGAGTTAATTCACCTTATGCCAGGGGTGGGATTCAGCCAGTTGGCACCTGTTCAGGAGAACCGATTGTTAACTTTCTAAGTAGTTCGGAGAACCGGTTGTTGGAAGAAATCTCCTTTTGTTTTTTCCCCCTCTACAGGGCTAATCCCTGTAAAGGAAGGCAGGAAGGAAACATTCGGGTGTTGTTTCTAGCCTAATCTTTATTGCCCTGCTTACAGAAACTTCCTCTACGGTTAACCCTTATTACATTGCAACAGCTAAGGCGAAGCGCCCATCAACATGAGTGACATTGAGTTGGCCACGCCTACCCAGTCACATGATCACCAAGCCCCGCCTGCCCAGCTGGTCATTAGGGCAGAGAACTGGTTGTGAAATTATTTGAATTCCATCACTGCCTTATGCCAATAAATGGTGTCTTAAGTCCTGAAACTCAGGAGCCCTTTCGCAACTATTCCTGATGAGGCTGCCATATCAACCTCATTTGCCCTCTTCAGCTAGGGCTGTGTTGTTGTTGTTTTTTTGTGTGTGTGAGGGGAATCCATAAAGACAATTTAATTACAGCTGCCTGAGATAGCTATAATTTCTAAGGCCATTTCACACTCTATTTAGAAGTTCAATTTTTACCTCATTCACCCTGAAAAGTGATAGCACGCATACACACACACAGACACACAAGACACACCATCAACAAAAGCTAAAGGCAAAAGCTTTAGGCTTGTGTTAATTTCTTATCAGAGAAGATCTGACATTCATGGATGTCTTAATGGGAAAGGTGTCCATTTCAGACTTTTTGTTCAAAGTTCGCCATCACAAATCCACCAATCTCTCNTGAAGTGGCCTGCAGTACTGCGCCCTAACCACTGCGCCACCTCGGCTCATTTTGTTGGCAATGGGCTCCATATTTCTGTGATAAAAGCTCAGCAGAAGAATGGATTGAGTGGCTGCTTCAGTGATGGGTTTCTACCGGTTCGGACCTGATCTCCCAAACCAGTAGTACTGCCTTCAAGCAGAGAGCAGAACGGTCTGCTGTGCGTGCACTCAGTGAATCAGTAGTAACCCACCACTGGGCTGCTTGCATGTTAAATGCCCTATCACTGAAAATCTAAGCTAAGCAAAGCAAAGCAAAATAAGGTAAAATTAAATACAAATCAGCATTGAAAACAAATCCTTTTGCTCCGCAGCAGCAAAAACCTGGGGCTTCATTTACGTCTCACAAAATATAAAAAAAAAACAAATTAACAAAAATATGACAAACAGTACATTTTAAACATTCAAAGCAGTTATTCTTCAAAGAAGATCAAATAGACCTAAGAAAATAGATAGTAGAAAATAAAAATAGAGTTAAAATAAGATTAAAAGCCGTGCAGTTTGAAAAATTTAGGAAGATGACAAGTTTGATGTAGGTAGATATTTTTTCCAAAAAGGCTGTTTTACTGCTGTGGTGTTACATGTTAACAGCAATCTATATATTAACAAGAGTCTAAATTTGTTATTGTTACCTTATTCATAGGTAATGTCATTATTTTTAAGGAAATTACATTGTAATACTTCCAAGATTCAATAAAAATAATTGGAATATACCCGTGATAGCAAACCTATGGCACAGGAGCCAGAGGTGGCACACAGAGCCCTTTCTGTGGTACGCCAGCTGCTCTTCTGCTTTCCAGCTGGTCTTCACGTGTGCCCAAGTGCTGGAAACCCGAAGACCAGCTGGCTGGTCAGCTGATGTTCAGGTTTCCAGCGCACTGGCACCCCCACACATATGCACGCATTTCGGTTTGGGCACTCGGTGCTGAAAAGATTTGCCATCACTGGAATATACTGATATTTATAATTATTTGTTAATTATTTTTATAGCCCACTATAAAACTGTCCCCGTTTATAGAAAATAAAATTAATATTTCCCAACTTTATAGAAAGTAAAATTAATAATTAAAACAGCCAGGGCTGAGTTAAAGTAATAAAACATAAAAAGTAAAGCATGATCATTGCATCATCACCCCCAAAAGGAAAAAGATAATCCAGATCTCTCTCTCTCNTTCTAGCTTACTGGCTTTTCCTCCACTTGCACCATTCAAGATGAAAGTAGCAAAAGGGAATAGGAATGCACTGATTTGTGAACCGAACATTAATATTTTGCTGAAAAACTGCAAAAATAAAAATAATCAGTGTCATGCAGATAGTATGCAGCCCAATTCTTTTCTCTAGCCACCCGATATGTGTGTGCATTTTAAATGGTTGCAACTGCACCGTCTGACAATAAGAACAGTTCTCCTCTGTTTTTTGCTGCTTCGTGAATAAGGTTGGGTATTTAATTCATACATGATTTCAAAATAAAGGCAACATTTTGAAATGTAATGGGAACAGTGGTGTGAGGAAGCATTCAGAGACAGCAGTTTTCTCTTCTCTGGGTCAGTTCCCTAAGCAAAACATCCCGGAAAAAAGCTCTTAAATTCCAACTGGAGCGTCCAATTCGCTTCATAACTGGCCTATTTAGATCACTTTGTTATGTAGGTGATGTTCCTGTGCAAAGAAATGAAGCGGCAGTCCTGAACCGTTCCGTTAATCAGCTAAACCCATTAGGAGGGGGACCAGATGGGGATGGCAGAGTCAGCTGTGCGCCAGAGATTTTGACACATGTAAACCTTGGCATATTCTGGGACGTTTTTAAGATGCGCTGCCGCCGATATCATGTTCTGAATCCTGATCAGCGTTAACAGAGAAGCCATTACTTTCTTTCTTTCTCTCTCCCCCCCCTCTTCCTGATCCTTCTGAACAACGAAATGGTGTCAGAGAATGTAAATCTTTAGCAGGGAGCATGCAAGCCCCACTGACATTTTCACAATTTAAATCATCTTGAGTAATAACCCTTTTAAGATGACTAATGTTACTGATTTTCTTGCATTAATAGCAGTGCTGAATAGACCCCACTGGAGGGAGAGGAGGAATCACTAGTACACCAAGACTACATTTTTAAATAAATGTAACATGCTGGCTATTGTTAACTCCTTCTGTTTAAGCTACTGTTAAAAAAAAAATCAAGGGGGAAAAAACATATTCACAGCTAGAACTCAGCTGAGCAGTTTATTGTTATATGCCGAAAGATGGGTCTGCACTGAAGCAGGGCTGATGCGGCCACTCCCCCTGGTAATCTTAGATGATCATGTAAAACATTTCAATCAATAAGCTTGATTGCTTTCTAGATCTTCCCACGTAACCGAACTAAATACATGCAAGTGATGGAAGAGCATTTTCGCAGTTCTTATTCATTGCTTCCTAAATAACACACACTCTGCGATGACAGACGATAAATTCAATATTCTTAATGATGCGCAGTTATCATCAAATTAATGTACAAAGTAATAGTAAATTAAAATTATGTACTAGCTGTTAGTTACAGGGATATTGAATCCAGGGTAGCAATAATTCTGCCGCTGCAGCTTTTCCCTTCATTGAGCCGGCCGCCTACAAAGGCAGGCATTCCAAACAAAAGGCACAATTTCACTTAAGGGTATCCCTCTTCAATTCCTGGGTTGTGTGTTGTGTAATCAGGGGGCGTGGTAGCTCAGTGGTTAAAGACACTGAGCTTGCCAACTGGATCGCTGACAGCCTGGGTTCGAGACCCGAGTGTTATACGATGGGGTGAGCTCCTGTTACTTGCCCCAGCTTCTGTTCACCTAGCAGTTTGAAAGCATGCAACTGCAAGTAGTTAAATAGGTACCATTTGGTGGGAAAATAATAGCATTCTGTGCACCTTTGGCATATGGCCATGCTGACCCCATGAAACTGCCTTTGGACAATGCTTGCTCTCTTGGCCAACAAAAGGAGATGAGCACCATGCCCTAGAGCCCGATATGACAGATGGGGAAACCTTTACCTTTAGGTTGTGTAATCTCCACTGATTTAAGATGTTGTGTAGGAGAACATCCTGAGATATGGCGAGCTACATTTTTAAAATGGTCATTTTGTTTGGGAGTATGTTCTTCCATGATTCAGGGTTTAACATTAAAAACAACAACAACTGTACCCTACATTTATTCCATAGGTAAAGGTTCCCCTCGCACATATGAGCTAGTCGTTCCTGATTCTAGGGGTCTGTGCACATTTCTGTTTCAAAGCCGAAGAGCCAGCGCTGTCCGAAGACATCTCCATGGTCATGTAGCTGGTATGACTAAACGCCGAAGTCACACGGAACGCTGTACATAGGTACAGTATAGGTGGTACTTTGCTCAACAGTAGTAACTGTGAGAGGTATCTTGGAGTCCTAGTGGACAACCATTTAAATATGAGCCAGCAGTGTACAACAGCTGCCAAAAAAGCCAACACAGTTCTAGGCTGCATAAACAGAGGGATTGAATCAAGATCCTATGAAGTGTTAATACCACTTTATAATGCCTTGGTAAGGTCACACTTGGAATACTGCATTCAGTTTTGGTCACCACGATGTAGAAAGGATGTGGAGACTCTAGAAAGAGTGCAGAGAAGAGCAACAAAGATGATTAAGGGACTGGAGACTAAAACATATGAAGAACGGTTGCAGGAACTGGGTATGTCTAGTTTAATAGAAGGACTAGGGGAGACATGATAGTAGTGTTCCAAGAAGACCTCCAAAGTCCCGTCCAACTCTGCTATTGTATTGCTGTTACCTTCCCACCAAAGGTGGTTCCTATTTTTCTACTTGCATTTTTATGTGCTTTCGAACTGCTAGGTTGGCAGAAGCTGGGGCAAGTAACGGGAGCTCACCCCGTTACGTGGTCCTAGGGATTCAAACCGCCAAACTACCAACCTTTTTGATCGACAAGCTCAGCGTCTTAGCCACCTGAACCACCGCGTCCCTCTATTTATTCCATAGCTGTAGTTAATTTGTGCAGTCCATTGAATACTGAGCCATGTTCTAGGCACAGCTCAAAGCAGAACTGCCCTCTGTGATTTAATAAAAAGGCTTCATAAAGTATTTGAAAAGACTCCACAGGGAACTAAAGGTAGTCCTTGACTTACAACCATTCACTTTAGTTTAAAATGAAAAAAGTCCCCATACAACCAGTCTTCGTGATTATGACTGTCGCAATATTCCTACGGTCATGTGATCAAAATTTAGATCCTTGGCAACTGGCATGGATTTACAAGGGTCGCAGTGTCCTGGGATCATGTGTTTGCCGTTTGCAACCTGCCCGCTGGCTTCTGACAAGCAAAGTCAATTGGGGAAAGTAGACGCGCTTAATGACATGACGGGCTTAATGACTATGGCAAAAAAGGTTGCAAAATTGGGTGTGACTCATTTAACAACTGATCTGATAGCAATGGAAATTCTGGTCCCAACTGTGCCGGTAAGTTGAGGACCACCCGCAATTTGCAATATTTTGCTCTTTGAAGTACAAGAGCAAATGATGCCTGGCTCAAAGCTATGATTATATATGGTGTTTATCTCTGGTTTCCAGCCAAAAGCGACTCTTGCAAACAGTGGCCATTGCAAAAACTATAAAATCAGGTTAGTCATGAAAAGACCTGCTTAATGACCAGCAGGATTTATGACTGTAATCCTGGCTCAATTATAGCCATAGGTCGAGGGTTATCTATAGCAGAGGTCCTCAACCCTCCCAGTCCATGGATTGGGACCAGTTCATGATATGTGAGAAACTGGGCTGTGCAAACAAGCAAAGCCCCATCTGTGGGATGCAGGCAGCACATGAAACCACGCCCCCTCTGGTCCATGGAAAAACCTCTCTCCACGGAATTGGTGGTCCCTGGTGCCCCAAACATTGGGGGTCGCTGTCCTATAGTTTAGGGCAAGGGTCGGCAAACGTAAACACTCAAATAGCCATTTGGACCTGTTTCCCACAAAAAAGAAAACACCAGGAGCCACAAAGGTCCTAACTGGAAGCCCCCTGTTCAATTCTGGAGCTCACCGGAAATTTAGTTCCCCCACCATAGAGTCTCCTCATAGCATTGTATACTTTTTCCTCTACCTGTCATAACCGAAAGCCCTATCAATTGTGGAGACAACTGGAAAACCCTCCCCTTGCCATAGAGTCTTCTCCTGGCGCATTGTGCTTCTCCCCCCCCCCCAAGAAGCTCCTCTCAAAATTGTGGCGCTGACTGGTGACGGAGCCGCAGCAGAGGGAGGAAAGAGCCATATGGGGCTCAAGAGCCGCAGTTTGCTGACACCTGGTTTAGGGGATTGGCACAGAATAGATCCAGATTAAGGCTCAGCTTTATCTATAGTAATTCATGGAATGCATTTTGACCAGTCTCTTAACTCAGTTTATCTCATAGCATTGTTATGGGGGAAAAAAAGAGAGGACTTAATTTACTACAGGTAGTCCCTGATTTACAATAGTTTGTTTAGTGACTGTTCGAAGTTACAACAGCACAGAAAAAAACAACTTATGACCGTTTTTCACACTTACCACCATGGCAGCATACCCATGGTCACGTGATCAAAATTCAAACACCTGGCAACTGAGTTCTGGAGTCACGTGATCACCCTTTGCAAACTTCTTGGCAAGCAAAGTCAACGGACAAGCTTAATTCACTTAACCACTGTGTTACTAATTTAACACCTGCAGTCATTTATTTAACAACTGTGACGAGAAAGGTCGTAAAATGGGGCTCAACAAGAGAAACTTTGGGCTCAATTGTGGTTGTAAATCAAGGACTACCTCTGTTAATAAAAATAAAATATCTGGGACTTACCTGCCAGAAAGAAATGTGACTGTCAGTGTTGGAGTAAGTGGCAAGATACCGACCATCGGGTGCAAAAGCCACGGCTGTTATTGCCCCTTTATGGCCATGAATTGTCTAAATAGCAAGAAGAAAGCAAGAAAGAGAATTAGCATTTGATGTCATGTAAAACATTGCGCAATTGCAGTCTTGGTTGAATGCACAATTTCTAAATAAGGTTACTCTTCAAATGATCGAAAGCTGTGTTGGTTACTTTACAGAACAGACAGACAATATAACATAAACTTCAAAATATACTGTCTATCTATCTCACTTTGATCCAACCTCACAGATGTAAAATTCTCAGACCTCTGAATATTAGCCGCTCTGTCAGCAAAACCTATAATATCTCAGGAATGGGGCGTGGGGGCCGGGAGGGAAGAACATCCCCCACCCCCCATCCATAGTGATTTTCCCCATCATCCATGAATGCTGAATAAAGTGCCAGAACAGCATTTTATTATGAACAGCTAGCTCTACCCTTTGATTAAATATATCTAATCCAGACTGAAAATTAGCAAGCCCAATCATATCTCTTTCATATCTTCCTCTCAATGATCGAAGTGCACGTCCCGAGCGTGGAACGTGGTGGTTGCTATTGAAAATGTTTGTTTGATTCATGCTTGGCTCAACGTAAGTTGCTTCGCGACAACTTCCTCGTGGTTAAGGCGCTGCAGCAGGACACGGGGAAGACTCAGCAGAAATGCCAGGAGGCTCTACACACGCATGAGCGGGTCTGCTTTTAATGCACTGAACATTCTTTTTACGCATGCTGCAAGCTGACCTTTCTGTCAAATGGGTCAACCGGCTGCGGTGAGAATATCTGTGCAGGGCTTTTAGTAGACTGTGTGATTCAGGGAGCTAGTTGTAGTCCTGGAACAATCAGCTAACCGCAATGAATACCTAATATTACCCATTTTGTAAAAAAAGCGAAGACAGAACAAAACTAGAAGTGAGTTATATTTCATGAAACATACCACAGAGGGAACAAGGAAAGTGGATATACGGATTACTTTGCTTTGGCACATTCTGCAGAAACGTGGATATCACGCTCCACAATAATTTGAAATTCTGCAGACAAAATTACCTTGGCGTTAATTTATTTATTCCTCCATTTTATGTGGTTGCCCATTCACCAAGCAACTCAGGGTAGTTAGCAAGTTGAAAGCATGAAAAAATATGCCAGTCATAAAAAGAACCACATATGTAACCTTGGAATCAATCATTGAACTAATGCATACTAGCACATACTATTGTTAACAATCTGACCAGATGCTTTACAGAAGAACCAGGACATCAAGTTCTTTCTAAAGGCCAGGGATAATCTGAGGACAGTTCTAGCAAGAGAAAAGGCACATGTCCTGGGTCACATTAGGTAAAGGTTTCCTTCGCACATATGTGCTAGTCATTCCTGACCCTAGGGGGCAGTGCTCATCTCCATTTCAAAGCTGAAGAGGCAGCGCTGTCCGAAGACGTCTCCGTGGTCATGTGGCCAGCATGACTAAATGGCAAAGGCGCACGGAACACTGTTACCTTCCCACCAAAGTTGTTCTCTATTTTTCTACTTATATTTTTACATGCTTTTACATGCTGCTAGGTAGGCAGAAGCTGGGACAAGTAACGGGAGCTCATTCCATTATGCAGCGCTAGGGATTCGGACCGCCAAACCGCCGACCTTCTGATTAACAAGCTCAGTGTCTTAGCCATTTAGTCACCATGTCCCAGTCGGGTCACATTAAATGTAACTTTTTGACAGAAGGGTCTGGAACACGCCAATCCAATTTGATCTTGTTGGGGAGGCAGAAATAATTAGAGATAGATGGTCCCTCAAATATCTTGGTCTTGTGCCATGAAGGATTTTATAGGTGTCAACACCATCTTGCAGCCATAAGCCCATTGTTAACTAGTGCATCTTACAAAATAATGGGGTTTATATAGGTTAGGTATGCCATGGTTTCCTACAGCTATCCACTCTGCTGCATCAGTTGGACTTCCTGACTATGTTTGGCGTCTAAGAGGTCGCCAAGGTGTAAGTGATTGTAAACAGAACCTCCCAATGCAGGAATGGGTGACATGGGCAAACAAGATGGATTTGGTCAAGGACCTTCCTAGCTACAGCTCCTTGAGTTGAATTGTGCTCCAGTTTTGTCTGATGCAGCGTGGATTCATTTACAACTTTGCTGTTGTTGTTGTTAGTTGCAAAGTCGTGTTTGACCCATCACAACCCCATGGACAATGTTCCTCCAGACTTTCCTGTCCTCTACCATCCTCTGGAGTTCATTTAATCTCATGTCTATTGCTTCGGTGACTCCATCCAGCCACTCATTCTCTGTCATCCCCTTCTTCTTTTTCCCTCAATTGTTCCCAGCGTTAGGCTCTTCTCCAGGGAGTCCTTTCTTCTCATTAGGTGGCCAAAGTATTTGAGGTTCATCTTCAGGATCTGGCCTTCTAAAGAGCAGTCAGGCTTGATCTCCTCTAGAACTGACCGGTTTGATCGCCTTGCAGTCCAAGACTCGCAGCAGTCTTCACCAGAATCATAGTTCAAAGGCCTCAATTCTTTGGTGCTCACCTTTCTTATGGTTCAACTTTCACAGCCATACAATGCAACTGGGAATGTATTTAGAACTAGAGATGACAAGTCTTCATGATAAGACAGCTTCAAAATCCCTGGCCATTTGGTTTCACTAAGGCTGATCCCGAGTCTGTTCTTGTCCTTTTAGATTGCCACAGAATTGAGACAGAACTTGAGGGCATTACTTGGATACTTATTATAAAGAGAGCATTCTTCTCTCTATCGTTGTCTTAGGACTTCAGCTAATTTCTAACAGTCATCATTTTACCAAATCTGGTTTGGCAGCTGTACTACCAAATTCTGATTTAACTGGCAGAGATAATAATGAATTCAGGCTTTTTTTTTTACATGATTGCATAAAAGTTTAGACGAAGGAAAGGAACATGCCTGCTTCAACAAAATTTACACAGTAAGTGTCAAGATGCAAAATCTGTTAAATTAGATTTGTTTATGCCTAAGTGGTAGATGCTTTTTGAAACACTGGAGAGATGACAGGCTGTAGAATTTATCTTTCGGGTCGAGGTGGCAGTATTGTTTTTGCTGCCAAATATGTGTCTGACATACGTACTTTGTTAGTAGAATTTGTTTCATCAGAGCTGAATCTTTTTGTGCTGCTGTGACCACGGGAAAAGCTCAAGGAATACTATGGAGTCGCAACATTTTTCATTCAGTTGACAAATGAGAAGATAGTCCTTTTATATTCATGTTCATAATTTGTTTACATTTAGGTTCATAAGTTGCAGATGTAAACAGAAAGAGAGGGGCTATTGCTATAAAGAAATTATGAGTCCCGCCAAACCAAGATGCCAAATGCTAGCAGAAGTAGAACTTCAGAATGGAAGCTTCAACAGGCATATTGCACAGTTGCAGAAATGTGACAGGTAACATTTAGGATTCCACATCACTACTGCAACTGAGGTCTGAGGAGCAGTCATATTGCATTTTCATCAAGTACACAAGCCTCGACTTGTTATTGAGTGGGTTTTCACTCATGTGGCCAAGCAGTGGGGACCTGGGTCTTTCAATAGCTTAGAACACTTCCACTTTGTGGCAGCCGCCATTGTCCATAATGGACATCGTTCTGTTTTACAGAATGTCCATCAAATAACAGATACCCTCATTATCCATTGCCAGATTAAGATTACAGCATGCTGAGTTTTAAGATTAACACTGCTTCCTAAAACAGACAACAAATAAGATGATGAGATGTTTGTCCACTTCAACTCATGCGTGACATTTGTTCTTATGTAATTTCAATGGGTTAATGATGCTGTCAGCACAAAAAGCTGTAATTCTGTATTCATCCTTGAAAACATTCTGTTTTCATAACGTCTGCTACTGAATATTATCACTTTCAAGTGGAGCCTACCGTTCTTCAAAGGGACACTGGATAAACATGGGTAAAGGTTAGTGTTTGTTTCATTTATCTCATCTCAAAGTACTCAACCTATGATTTTCAAATGATATAGGCCATCAATTCATTTAAAGTGATAACCACTTCATTGAACGATGTGGGTTATTTTAAGCTTGTGCTACCCTACATACTGTACATTTCATAAAACTCTGGCTCCTGGATCACTATGAAGTTCTGACAACATAGTTTTTTGTTTTTTTTTGTGAATATTATGTCTCTATCAGTCTGGAAAAGATGACAAGAGCCTTTCCAAAACCCTGAGACTCCATTGCTCAAATTCAAAGGCAAAATACTGCCAAAACATCTTAAGGAGATATTTACGTGAGCGAGATCTGAACAGGTTGACACAATGGTTGGATATGGAAGATTCCATTCTATACCATACAATGAGCATCTCTGTATTTGCAGAGCGGCAGAGGGAGAAGACCTGGCTCACATCCTATTTGATTGTTGCTTGTATAAGGGGGTGAGAGACAGGTACCATGGTCCATATACCAAATGAATGACCCATTGGGATCCCCATATCAAAACAACTTACTTTATGTAACCTGAAAATAACATTTAACACAGCACAATGCTTAAACAAAATGGTTTGATTGAGATCTGCATAATGGTAAAGGTTCCCCTTGCACATATGTGCTAGTCATTCCCAACTCTAGGGGGCTGTGCTCATCTCTGTTTCAAAGCTGAAGAGCCAGCGCTGCCCGAAGACGTCTCTGTGGTCTTGTGGGCGGCATGGCTAAATACCGAAGGCGCACGGAATGCTGTTACCTTCCCACCAAAGGTGGTCCCTATTTTCTTTTTTTTATAAAGATTTTTTTTATTTT